GAACATTTCACTCTTCTAATATTCAATACACAAAATCTCATTTAATGGAACTTTGACTGTATCGTATAGCCTAAAATATGGATACTTTTTAATCTCAAAACTCTTTATTCAAAATTTTTATTTAATTTTCTAACACCTAAAATTTTAAAATATTTCACAATTGGAAAATAATTTCAACAAAGGTACCCTACATCTTAGCGGAGGATATATTAACTTTGTTATTGAGTTTGTAACTACTTGAGAGAGTCTAGTGTACAATATGAACTTGTGTTCAATTATAGCTACTCGATTGTATTTCCATACAACCCTAATATTAAAAGCTAATTTTAAATTTTTTAAGAACTGGTTTTATAATTAGATTGTCATGGTGTAAGGGCATGATCCAAACGGTTAAAATCGAGTTAAACTTATTTCATTAATTTACAAAAAATTTCAGCTTGAGAAGCACAGATATAATGTACCAATTTTTAGAAGGATTTATCGGATTGCCAAAGCATCATCATTTATGTTAATGGATTTGACACATGAGAAACCATAATGTTGTAAAAGATTATATTACAATTTTATGTTAATCAAATACTCGTATATAATTTTTAAAAAGTTTTTAATGTAAAAATTCTAAAAAGTATCGTTAGCAACATGTTGCTAAAGCCAAAGTAAATTTTCATTCAAACAATGTGTAATACGTTCTTTTTTGCATTGTGTTCGTTTTTCTCTTGCCAGCGTTTTAATGTGTTGAAGTCTTGACAAGAAGCTTATTATTTTCGCTGTCTTAAAAGACAGAAAAAATCATAAAGATTTAGTGACGCGCACAAAATTTCTTCTTCAAAATTTTGGGAGGACATGTAAATATTTCCCAAAATTATTGACTTAAAAATCAAATGCCAAAATCAAAATCAGCTGATCGTTAAGGTTTTGACAATTCAGGAAAATACTTTAATATTTTATTTTAATATTTTGCGCATTATCAAGCCAGATGTTATTAATATTTTATTTTGTTTGTTCATAATCACTGAAGAAGTGTCAAAATCTAAAAAAAATTGAAGATCACTTAAAGAATTTTTAAAGTGAAGTAAAAATTTCTTTTAATTCGAAAAAGATATTTTGTTTGTGCTTATATATTAATGGTTCCTGTTGAACATTCCCCCATTTGCTAAAGCTGATTTTCTTCTCGTTCAATTTTGTTGGCATACTCGGATTCCATAAGAATCAGCAATATTTTATAAAATTATTTTTAAACTTGAAGATCAACTGTTTAAAATCCTTTCAAAATTTTTGTTTTAATTAAGTTCAAATTATTTTCCATTTAAATATTTAAAAATATAGTAATTAAATTTTACTAATCACACGTACATTCACATTTAATTCCATGTTTCCAAAAAAAAAAAAAAACGTATGCATACTCGTACACGACAAACGTTTAAGAATACGTTAAAAATTCGATTAATTTAATGAACTAAAATGTCAACATTTTGAATGAAAATATTTCGTAATTTGTAAGTCGCTAAGAGCAACAATTAAAAAAAAAATTATAATAATAAAGAAAATTAAGAAGAAAAAAAATAAAACAGTAAATTAGCGTGATTTGCATAATTAGCTTTTAAAATATACATTCATTGACTTCCGACAAAAAAAAAATAAATAAATAAATATTTTAATAAAATTAAGCAAAAAATGCAAAAATACAAAATGAACGAAATGGAGAAAAAAAAATTTAAATAAAAGTACAAGTTTTTTTTTTTTCAAAAATTTTGTACAGTACAGAAGAGAAGAAGTCAAAAATGACAAGAGAAAAACAAAAACAACGAATGAATGAATGAGTGCTATTTGAAGTTTTGAAGGTCTTTTACTTCAAAAAAACAAAAGCACTTAAAACGGTTTTAGAATAATTAATAATTTTTAGTAATAACTACTAACTACTTAATAATATACTAGGTTAGTAAAAATAATCAAATAATTTACGCATTTTGAAAAAATTAAAAAAACAAAATATTTGTTTTTTTGTTTGTTTACTGCTGTAAATTACTATTAAGATCACATCTTACAAACAGAAGGGTTCTAAAATAATAAGATTAATTATTTTTACTCAAACGTGATCATCACCGATATTATTTTAAGCATGTGTGTATAAATTAAAAAATGGGTAAATATGGCTACTGCTCGTGTATAATTAATTAGGTAATCACATTCATTGAATATATTTATGTATATATACAGAAAATAATGCGGAAATAAATATATTCACGTTGAATATGTTAAAAATACAAAATATTGAAATTGAAAAAATTATTAAAATATGAAAATATTATCATAAATTATTAATGGGAAAATTATGTAATAATATTATTAAAAATTGCATATTTTTAGGCAAATTATTATTTAAATTAAAATTTTAATATTACATGCTACTATGTGAGTTACTAGGATTGCTATCGAAATCAAAAATTATTAGTATGTTTTGTAATTATTTTTTATAAATTTCAAAATGTGTATAAAAAGTATAACAACTGGAATTAAACAGTTCCCTCTTCAACCAACTATTTAACTACTTTTCAGTTGAAATAGTTTTTGTATCAGAACGTTTGGGATAAGGCAAATTAATAGTTGCTTTTCTTTTCCTTTAGTTATTTTAATTAATTAAACTTTACAATATTATAAAACGGTCAAGCAATAGAATAAGGTAAAAATCACAAGGTTTCAAAATAAAAAATGGTTTTAATTTTGACATTTTTTCTCTTCTACAAAATAGGAAAAAGTATACGTTTGATTATTCACGAAATTCCAAAAAAAATATTTCCGTTTTAAAATTATTTTGACATTTTCCTAGATTTGAGTCATTTATTGCAGTCATTAACTGATTTTTTCCCCTAATCATTAAAGTGATAACTAATCTTTAATTTGTTCAGGCAAATAACTTTTTCAACAATAAATCCTTGAGTGGAACTGTTGTTTTTTTTTTTTGCATTAAGGGTCTTATAGATTATTATTTTTTCAATTGGATTTAATTCACGGTCATCTCTTATAAAGGTCAAGTAAAAGAATGTAATTTAAAGATTTTATATTTATAAATGAATCTACTTGAGGCCATTAGTCTTAATTCTCGGGTTAATTGTAATTTCTTTTTTATTTAAATTAAGCAGAAATATTTTAATGCAGTACGGAATTTTAAATTATATTATATTTGATTAATTAGTAAACATGTAGGCCAACAATATTTTAAAATTGAGATCGTTAGTAAATTATTTATTTAGTTTGCTTTCAATTCTAAAGAGCGAATGCAAAAAAATTAGGTATAAGATTGTAATTGAGTATAAGAATGTGTAAGATTGAGTATAAGAATGTAAAAAAATTGAGTATAATTGAGTATAAGTAATTTATTAAACAGAGATATTAAAAAATAAAAAATACAAGCTCTTTTAAGGACAAGAGACAAAATTCGTACATGTGTGCACTGAAAATAAGTGCGCACTGAAAAGGTTAAGCATAATTTAAATATTTATAGGTAGTTGTAACTAATTCTATTCATAAAGTACTTAATAAGGCGCTCAAAGAAACAAACTAAAGTTAAGTAATTCATTTAATGAATTTTAATTAAAATATTCATGACTTATTTAAATTATTCTAGTTCATCGGCTTGTTAATGCATTCAATGATTTGGTGAATTTTAATAAAAAAACTCCTCGAATAAAATGATTTTTGTGTGATTTTAATAATTCCCTTAAAAGAGGGTTGCCTTATTTTTCATAATATTAAAATTAAATTTGAATATGAAATTCATTACTAATTAAAATATAGTAATGAAAGTAAAAGAAAGAACTTCGATTGCACAGATAATTTGTGTTTCGATAGGAAAGAAAATGGAAATGAAATTTTTTTAAAACGATTAAGCAAACAGGCCTAGCTTTTTACATTAGAATTATATTGATATTAAGGCTCTCAGCCCCAGTAGAATAATTTTTCCTTTGCCGTTATCAACTGGCGTCAGACTTGATCGATTAAGTCAAATTCTTTCATGTTTTAAAAATCTAATATGCTTTTTTGTTTTAAGATTTTGGCGTAATCAATTTTTCCATCGCAGCTGACTTTTATAATTTAATTGAGAATATTATATTGAGAGATTTTGTATCTCCCTTTAAAGGTCACATTTTTTAATCACTTTCAAAATCGAAATCTCATTTCTTTTTATTTTTATTATTTTTTATTTTGCCCTAGGAGAGATGTAGACCTATTGATTATTGATCATACCATGCTCTAATTTCGTCAGTCACTAATTGTATGTATATTGAAAATATTATGAATGCAGTTTTTATAATGACCCAACTGGATTTTGAACCTGAGACTCTTCGGTTGAGGAACAGTTTTTGTATCTATTACAACCGTCGGTCACCACTTTATAATTCGATATGCCATTTTTTTCTCAAAATTCAAAAACAAGGAGACAAGAATGGTGTCTGTATTTTAGATAATTTTAAAACACTTGTATGTGATATTTAGTGATTCAATTATGATTCTTTTCCTCCTTAAATAAAGAGGTGTGATACAGAATCTGGTTCCATGTTCCGTTCTAGTTAAAGAATGTTTCAATTGTTAGAACAACGGATAATATTGTTTTTATTATGTATTTATAATCGAATCATCATAATAGAAAAGCGACTAAATAGCGACTTGAAAAGAGATCTACAATTAAAAAATATTTGAATTATATAGGGACTCGTATGGGAGAAATCACATTTATTTTCAATTATAGATGTCAAATATGAGTACAAACTAAAATTTAAAATCATAGTCCAAAAATTGTAGCAAATAAAAATAAAATAAAAAGTTGTTATTACTTAATCGAAATAAAAATCATAAAAAATAAATAAAAAAACACACACACACACACACATAATGTGCAGTAATAAATAATAAAGAAAAATATCAATAAAAATGAACTTGACATATAATGTAGACATTTAAATTTTTTTTTCTTTTTTTTTTTTTTTTTAATTTGAACTCACCTTTAAACACAATAAAAATAAAAAATAACATTAAATTTCGCGAGAAAGCAAAATGTTAATTTTAATTTATTTTTGTTTTTTTTTTTTTATTATTTTTTTCTTAGTACATAAAATTTTGTTTATGTATGTTTGTGTGTATATTTTAAATTTATAAAGTACGTGTGTAGGTAGCAAATATACGCATATTTTTTTTCATTTTTTTTTTTTATTTTTTATATAATTAACTATTTCGCACACAATAATATTACATATTTAATTTTTTTAAATACATATATCTACATACATACAATATATTATATAATAGATTTTTAGTAAATATACTATATTTATTTACATGAACACAACAAAAAAATAATATGAAAATACAAAAAAAAACACAATGAAAAAGTGGTGTTATCAAGGTTTAAAATAGACGACGAAAAACCCACAAATTGGCACCTGTACACAATATTATACTGCTCTAGCTCATGTACATATACATAAACACTAAATAATTACACTATATATTAAGCTATAGGCAATTTTAATTAAAAAAAAAATTATTTTTAAGTGCCAGTAGAAATATAAAAGAAGTTCACTTGAGTACGTTTTTTTTTTAAATTTGTAAAATCAAAAATTATTTATAAAAAAATTCTGTATGTATATGTATGCATTTATGTATACATATATAGATTGTTATAATTACATTTGTTAAATTCAGCAAAATTATATAAAAAAAAAAAATTGTTTATTTTTTATTTTTTCTTTTCACAAATCAATTATTGAGTAATAAGTCAATAACAATATAAAACTCAAAAAGAGGCAAAAACAAACAAAAAAAAAACAACAACGACGGCAATACTATAATCAATATAGCAAGTATACTTACTCGTAATAAATTTTTTTTTTTTTTTACTGTTACACGTGAATTCAGAGAAGAAAAATCATGAATGAAAATTAAAAAATAAAAAAAAAAAATAATTTTGTTTTTTGTTTTTTTGTTTTTTTTTTTTTGTGTATTTAATTTTAAATTGTGTTTAAGCTTTAATTTTAGATTTTAAGATTTACTGTTACAAAAAATATAAAAATTGGAGAGAAAAAAAATGAACAGGAAATTGCACAAAACAAAACTCGTGTTTCGATTTTTCACCGCTTCGAAATTGTATTTTTTATTTTTTTTTCTTATTTAATTTTTCTCTCTTTCTTTTTGTTTTTGTAATTAACTGTTATGCTTATGACAATTAATTATTAGAATCTCTTTTATTAAAGCACCATCTGGTGGTTAGCTTAAATTTATTTTTTTTTTCTTTGTATTTCTTTCTTTTTTTTTTGTTTTTTTTTTTCACACACTTTACTCCTTTTCGTTTAATATTTTATTTTATTTTTTATATTATTTTGACAATTTATATGATATGACACTTTTGTGGTGTAATTAAGAAGCGCGCGCGTTAATTATTCTGTTATATTTTTTGTTTCTATTTTGTGTTCTTAATTTTCTTTTTTTGTGTTTTTGTAGTAGCCACGGTTAAAAAAATTTATTTCTTTTTTTTTTTCAAAAACATTTTTTTAAACACACACACACATTTAAATTATAATTCCTTGTTTCTTTTCGTTTTCTCTTTTATTTGTTGTTGTGTTTTGGGAGAGTTTTTATTAGTTTTTAAATATTATTATTGATTATTTTTACTAATTTATTAAGTTTTTATTTATTTTTTTTTTTTTAATTTTAAAATTTCATTAATATTCATTTCATTAAAATATAAACGGATTCTCATATATGTAAAAGTATATATGTATATCTGTACATGTATATATATATATTTGAATGAATATAGATAAGTAAATGATTTATTCAATAAATTATTTATTATTACTTGTCACAAATTTAATGTTGTATTTTAATTTTTTTTTTTGTTGAGTGTATTCCTTTTGGATTTATACAAACAAATAACCATAAATTGGTGATCACTTAAAAAAAAAATTTTAGAAAATTAATATAAATTATGTATAGATTGTATGTAAGTGGGTAAGATAATAAAAAAAAATTTAGAATTAGCATTTTAATTTTAAATTAAAAATTTTAATTTTTTTTTAATTTTTCAAAAAATATAAATTTTAAAACTTTTTTTTTTAATTTAATTATTTATTTTCTTATATACATATAAAATAAATTAAGAAATTTTTATAATTATTCAATACTTATGGTAGAGAGGACAACGTTTAAGTAATCTTAGCGGATATTTTTTTTTAATTAAGTCATGATGTAAAATTCTCTTGCTAAAATATTTTTGAACTTTTCAGTTTTGAGCAAAATTGTGCTCTTAATTTAAAAATTAAACATAAATTTAGAATTAAATTAGGATAAACGAATGTTTCTAGAAGTAACATGGATTTTAATCAGCTTCTCTTCATAATTTTTCAAAATTAAAATATTGATAATTTGAAAAAATAATAAATTTGTTTTTTTTTTAATATTCAAATTAAAATCGGCCAATATGTTAGAGTTGTTGTAGTTGATATGCTATTACTTATGTGTATATGTATTAAAGAATGAAAATCCTGGTTATCTCATTAAAGTATTATATATTTGTATTCAACAAAGTATAACGCAATGTTTAATACTAAAATATAATTAATGTCTATAATATCAATATTAATCGATTTATAGAATATATACATACTTCCAAAATACCATTAATAACTGTTTGTGTCAATGTTTATGTAGTTAGGCTACTAATTAAGTCAAAGGAAGCATTAAATGCTTGTAGTTTTAAAATATGTGAACTTACATTTCATTTTTTCCTATAAGTCGAAAAGTAAAATTTTCACTTGTTTGAATTCACTGATCCGTGTTAAGCAACTGTTATAAAGTTAAATTGCAAATGCTAAATGTGCTCTTACAAGGTATGTTGGAAAGGCCTGGGCGAGATTTCTGGTTGTATTCCAGGAGGCATTTGAAAATAAGACCTGTGAGACCCCAATTCCTAGAAAAGGAATTCAGAAAAAGCATATAAAATATACTTCTCTGCACAATGCATATACATAGACATATGTATACAGAGTGTATGTGTTATGGTAATTTGTTAGATTTTAATAGTTTTAAGAAGTAATTTGTCAAGAAGCCACTCGTGATCACAGATGACACATTCAAATGTTATTCGAAATCTTACAGGTAAATTAAATTTTAGTGTAATTATGCGGAATATCAAGAGAACAATCTTTATGGTTAAAGTATTCTAAAGAACTTTAATTTGTAAATTAAAAAAATGTCACTTGTTTTCTCAGTCACAGTTAGTTTCGTAAGGAAATTAGTATAACAAACTCGACTCATATGGAATTCTTTCTTCTAACTGTATTATTACCGTTCTAATAATGTTTTCTTATAGAGAAAGATCCTCAAACACAAAAACATTACAAGACATAATCATCATTTAAACAATTAAGTCAACCAATTTTGTATACTCATTTTATACTTAATTATACTGTATTAAAGAATATAATTGATTGTCCTCCATCTTAAAAGGTGACTTTGACGGTCACGTAGTGGTGAAATTTTTTAAAATTATTATTTTAAAACATTATTTAATTAAAAAACCTTAATTAAAATTCTTTAAAGCTAAATGTTCTAACAAAAATCATAATCAGAAATATTAAGCGTGTGTAGTGAAAAGAAAAATCACAAAATTAAAATTTTTCTATTTGCTCTCATGTGTAAATGAAAGCTTTAAAAAATTTCTTTATGTTCGGCTTAAAATAACTTTATTTTTACATAATACTATATTAACATAGAAATGTATGTATGTAAGTATACATATATATAGTGTGTGTATATGATGAGCGTATACGCTATAAATACTATACTTACTAACTAGCAATAAGGAAGCAAGCGTAGAATTAAAAGTTATAAAATAAATTTTGATTGATTTTTTATTTGTATAAAATTTGCGGTTTTCTTTCTTTTGTTTTTATTATTTTATTTTTTTGTTTCTCTCTTTGCCTCTCTCTACCTCTGTTTCTATCTTTCTCTCTTTAACATTCTCTATTTTTTAAGTTAAATAACTTGACTTGAAATAACATTGAACTTGAGAAAAATTTATTTAAATTTTCGCTTTTAACAATCTTTCCACTGCTCAATAAAATTCATTTTTATGTGTTTTAGCGTTTTTATTGTATTTTAAAATTTATTTTGTCTTTTTCTTTTCTTTTCATTTTTTTTTTTTTTTGTATTGTCGGTGCTTTTTAAACTTTTTTTTTATTTTATTTCAAACCTGGAGTTTGTTGTGTGGTGAGTTTTTTTTTTTTGTGTTTTGTTTTTTTTTTTTTGTTCATCATCTTTTGTATTGTAGCTTATTACCAAATCGAATGTGGTTTTATCATCAAACCTAAAAAGATATCTAAAAGATGCCTAATAACAATAATAATAATTCGCGCTCCATAATATGCAAATTTTTTCGCTTAATTTTTTTTCTTTTCGCTATTCTTTTTGTAATTTTGTATAGATAAATTTGGCAATCTATTAATTAAAATTCGTTTGAATTTGAATGAGAACCTATGGTGACAGAAGAAGAAGAAGAAGAAGAAAAGAAAATAGAAAAGAAAAAGGAAAAGGAAATATTTCTTCTTTTCGCTCTCTCTCTCTCTATTTTTCTCTTTCTGTTTTATAGCAAAATATAGATATTTGATCAAAATCTCTATATTAAACGCTTAAAAATAAATTTATGGCTTCAAACAAAAAAAAAAAACAACAAAAATAAATTTATGAACAAAACATTTTGTGTGGAGTTAATCAGATTAGCGATGATAATTTGGAATAGTTGAATGCGTGAAATATACACTTTTCTACATTCAAATCAACACAAAGCATATACATACATTTGTATTACATATATATACAGATATTTGTGTTAAAAAATGTCATGTAAACTAAAAATAGAAAATTATACCTATAAAGTGATTATGAGAAGGTGGAAATGATAATTACCTTGACTTATGCGGTATATTAGCCAAGTGTTTTATTGATTTGTTTGTGTGTATGTTTGTTTTTTGCAAAAAAAATTTTGGTAAAGAAGAATAAAAAAACAATACTCCTGCCTATAGTAACAGAATTTTTATTCAATTTCCTTTTTCCTTTTGTGTGTAACTTTTCTAAAATATTCCGTTATTTTCGAAAAGGAAATAACAGTAATAATGTGATATAACAGGTTAATGTTTTAGGGTATTTTTGCGTGTTATGAATTTTATTTCGTGAGTTATTGTTAATTCTTTTTGAATTTAATTTTAAGAATTTAAAATTGTGTTGGTTTTTTTTAAAGTTTTTGAAACGCACAGATTAAAGCAATAAAAAAAATTTTATGGGTAATTTTAACATTATATGGGTAAATATATAAAAATAAAGCAATGTATGTGGGTAAAAGATTTATTGCAACATATTTTGTCAGCTTAAATGTCGTTTTGATAATGAAGTGAAGCTCTTTAGTGAAAAATGCTAATAATAATTAAAAATTATGTCGAGATTTTTAAAAAATTTGCAAAAGAAATGATATTTGGTTTTTTTTTTCTGTTTATCCATCCGTTCGTTTCTTTGCAAACAGACGTTGATTAATTTTTTTATGGATTAAAATTTGGTATTCCCCATCCCTATGTTTTTAAATTGTAAAAGCAATGTTTATTCTCTAGAAACACTGCTTATATCACAAAGCAAAAATATGAATCAACAAATGACAGATTTGCGGATTGATCTTGCAAATAAATTGGTATTTCAAACTGATTTTTAATTTTTTTTTCTAATTCAGATGTTTCTCAAATTTAGATCATTTTTATTGCTTATATTTAAG